GTATGTCATGAAAGTTGATAATGGAGAAGCTAAAGAATTCCACATTTGGAAAGAAGATATGTCAAAGGATCATCCACAGTTTCTGTATTGGACCAGAGTTTTGGAACTAGAATTACTCTGTTTACAACTAGTGCGATCATTTAGAGAAGCTAATTTCACCTTATACTTCCAGTCAATTAAGCAACTTGTCCCGTGGATGTTTGCTTTGGACAATGTTAATTATGCAGGATGGCTTTCTGTTCATATCCGTGATATGTCGGAGCTTCCATTCAAACATCCTGACGTCCTTAACCAGTTCTCCAAGGGCTCGTTTGTAGTGCATAAAACGAAGAAACAGTTTTCAGCTATAGCATTAGATCAAGTTAATGCAGTGGTAAAGGGAGAAGGTGGTGCTGTGGGACTAACCGAAAACCTTTCAGCTTTAAGGAGAAGGATGATTGCAGATCCAGAAATTGCACGAATAATTAGGGAATTCGAGATGAGTACACATGTAGACAGTCAGCTACACCATGAGCAAACTCCATCCATTTAAAGAGAATTTTATAAAGATATCTCAAATGCCATCTTCAATTTTCAAGCGATGGGGAATCCTTGTGTAGAAGAGAGCGAAGACCTATTTGCCATCCACACAAATGACGTGATGAACAGTTCCGTTGTTAATACGGTGAAGAATGTTGTAACCCTTGGAGAAGAACAATATCAAGCATTTGTTAAAGAAGGATTTGTTGAGAGAAGCAAGAGTATTACTGAAACGTTGAAAAAGAATAATCTGCCAACGCTTAAAACAGGAAGAAAAAGAGTTTCGTCAAAAGATAAAGTAAATATACAAACTCTGAAACTAGACTGTGCTTTATTTTCAAGATTGTATATAGCCAGTCAAAATCGAAGTGGTGATCTCGATGATATCTTTAAACATGAGAACCAACCATGGCCACCATCTCTCTCACAAGCAGGAAGCTTGCGTACTGGTAATAAAACAGACTTGACAAAGTGTATCGAGCCCATTACCAAAGTTCAGTCACCAACTCCCAATGTTATTATTTTAGACAGAGCTGTTGTTGTTCAAATGATTTCACCTGGAACTTGGGAAACGTTCGAAGAGTACGCACAGTTTGCTTTCATTCCTTATGTGTTAAAGCAATTTCAATCAGCTAAAAGAATTGATTTAGTGTGTGATGTATACAAAGAGGATTCGCTGAAAAAAAAAACGCACGGGAGAAGAGAGGCTTTGGTCAACGCCGCAAGGTTACATCGACAGCACGTATCCCTACTGACTGGAAGGGCTTCCTGCGCGTAGATGCCAACAAAATGGATCTTTTCAATTTCTTAGCGCAGAAAGTTATTTCCCAGCAGATTCCAGAAGGAAGATAAATTTACAGTACATTTGAAGAAAAGGTCTTGTGCCTCCCTAAAAGGGAAGAAAACGCAATTGATGGTGTACGAGTTAGATGCAAGTAACTGCGGCCACCAGAGGATTGTTGTAAGAACAAATGATACTGACGTATTGATACTGGCCATTTCAATTGTGAAAAACATCAAAGCAGAAGAATTATGGATTCTTTATGGTACAGGAAAGCACTTGCGTTATATTCCCGCGCATACAATTGCATCGACTATCGGATCTGACAAGGCATCTGTTCTACCGTTGTTCCACGCTTTTACGGGGTGTGATACTGTTTCCTTTTTTGGAGGTCGAGGAAAGAAAACTGCATGGGATGTATGGAATGTATTTCCTGAGCTAACATTAGCGTTGCAAGAGCTAAATTTGTTGCCAGAAAGGATTGATTGTTCGTCCTTGCAGGTAATTCAGAAACCGCCAAAGGCATGTATTATCTATCAAACAAGGTTTCTATTATGATTCATATAATGTGTTGCAGGTGATTGAGCGATATGTGGTCCTCTTATACAAGCAATCTCACCAGAGTCAATGAAGCTAGACAAGACTTGTTTGCCAAAAAGTCCAGAACACTAGATAACATTCCACCAACCCAAGAAGCGTTGCTTCAGCACACCAAGCGTGCATTGTTGCAAGGTGGATTTTTCTGGGGGCAGTGCTGCTTGAAAGAGCAGGCTATTCCCACTCCGTCAGGTTGGGGCTGGTACCGCGATGAAGATTCTTGGTTACCAATATGGACAAATCTCCCTCAAGTTAAAGATGCCTGTTATGAACTTATTCGTTGCGAATGCAAAAGTTCATGTTCTAGTCGTTGTAAATGCGTCAAAGCACACTTAGTTTGTACTCGTTTGAGTAATTGTGGGGGTGATTGTCAATAACATGAGGGCATTAAAATCATTTTAATATTACTATTCTTGGTTAGGCGCTTTTCCAATGTAATAAAGAAAGAGCAATAACACTAAACAAAAGTGCTGAGTCAGCACTTTTAAAACACTTTTAATGTAGAATATTTCAAAATGCATTGCTCAAAAGCAAAAGTTGTAATATAGTTTTTCTATCATCTTTAGCTGTTGTATAAGAATATACAGGGAAATTGCAGATTTCTTTGAACTTTATTTTTTTTTTACTACCGACGACGTCATCAAACTCGACATTCGCAGAACTTGTTTTAAATGTAAAATATGGGCTGGCCCTATATCAAAATTTTGTGTTTCTAGGCATAGTAAGAATGTGAGAAAGTTTCATATTTGTATCATTCAAAGTGAAGAAATTTGTCATTAACAGCTGTACTAAAGCTACAATAATGGTTCAGAGCCCACTATCCAAAAAAGGCATTTGATGAAGTAATAAGTATTTCTATTGAAATTGCTAAACTATTCCTAGACTTACTCAACCTTTGCCTCTCCACTGAATTCACCTTCCAAAACACATACTACAGACAAATTTCAGGCACACCAATGGGATCACCACTGTCCACCTTCCTCGCAGAAGCTGTCATGCAACACCTCGAAACACAATCAGTCACAAACACAAACATCAGACTATGGAAAAGATATGTCGACGACATCTTTGCCATAGTCAAGAAAGACAAAACTGAACAAATCCTACACACCATAAACAATACCACAAAGAACATTACCTTTACTAAAGACGAAGAGCACGACAAACAACTTAACTTCCTCGACATCCTACTAACCAGAACAGATGACGGTACACTTAACACACAAGTATACCGCAAAACCACCCACTCGGACCAAATACTCGATTTCAACAGCAATCATCCAACACAACACAAAATAAGCTGCATTCGAACACTTTTCAACAGGATAAACACTCATTGTAATACGGAAGAAGCCAAAAAAACAGAACGCAACTACTTATACTCCACATTTATTAAAAACAATTACCCTAGAAACTTCATAAACTAAACTATATACAAAATACAAAACAAAACACAAACCGACAAAAGCAACAAAAAACCGGACGAAACAGTAAAAATCGTCACATTACCATACATTAACGGAACATCAGAAATGACTGCCAGACTTCTTCGACCATTTAATATTAACGTCGCCCACAAACCTACATAAAAACTCAAATCATGTTTCACCAAACATAAAGACAAAACAACAATTCATGATACAACTGACGCGATCTACATGATACCATGTAAAGACTGTTCAAAGCAATACATAGGACAAACATCTAAGAAAATTGAAACAAGACTCACAGAACACAAAAACGCCATAAAACGAGATCCGAACTCACTACCAGCAGAACATACCCACGGAAACAACCACACATTCGACTGGACAGAAACTAAAGTACTCGGACGCGCACAGACTAAACACGCACGCGAATTTAAAGAAGCTTGGTACAATAAAGACAACGACACAATAAACAGACATATCGACATACCCATCATATACTCACAACTAAAGAAAAAGGACAAAAAAACTACAAACAACACTAAAGCTAAAACACTACACTCTAATATTATTAACACCAATCATATTCACAATACACCAAAACCCATGGCAACGCATTTCACCCCATCCAATGACATTAATCCTCCCACTAATCCAATTAGACGCTCTAAACGTCTCCAAGTTAAAAGCACGTGTAAATAAATATCCTCATTCTGATGAAGGCTCGAAGCAACGAGTCGAAAGCTCAATAAAAATCACTTAATATCCGGAGAAACTTTTATCTTTTATGTATTAAATGCCTGGATTACAAATTTTCAAACTTATATATATATATATATACGTAAGTTTGAAAATTTGTAATCCAGGCATTTAATACATAAAAGATAAGTTTCTCCGGATTTTAAGTGATTTTTATTGAGCTTTCGACTCGTGTTTCGATACGTATGCAATATAGCTGAATAAGGCCTGTTTCATACGTCGCATTTTACATGAGCCGATTAATGCATTTAAAACAAAGGATAAGGAGGCATTTTATCTCATTTTCTTTTTTCTTCAATGCATTCGGCTCATGTAAAATGCGACGTTTGAAACGGACCTGAATGGATGTATAAATTGTGTTTGCCAAACATTCAACAATCCTCGAGAAAAAAAACCGTATGAAGTTTATTTGTGTTAATGATGATGACCGTAGAATAAATACTTTCATAAACTTATAATATTTCTTTTACTCAAGTTTGACCAGCTGTGTTCGACACTCCAACTTATCCCTTATCCTCGTTTTATCCCCTCATCCGCCATCAGTATCCGCATTTTATCCTAACCATTATCATGTAAACTTCTTATATTGATTCACTTCGCACTGAAGATGGCATAAAGTATGCCGAAACATATCCACTTCTCAAATTCCTTAATGCTATAATTACTGTCATTTCAAAAGTTCTAGTCATTTAAAACATAATTCAATTTGCAATATTTTCGTTTCAAATAGGCACTTTAAAAGGCTGGAAAGAATCAAACTTAATAATTGTCTTTATGATTATCGAATCCTTGTTTCCTCACAATTTCAACACTTCGACTAAACATTTACCTTTCCTAAACAAAAATATAAATTTCGGCTATGCGAATGAAAAACAGGCTGTACTGTATATTAGGAGACAGTAGTTCAACAAACAATATTGAAGACGATGGTGTATTTAATATTTTTTTACTGGCTTTAATTTATTGTAAAGCACGAGTGTTTATATCAGTGTGCATAGTCATTATAGTTGCAGAATGAATACATAAGCAATAAATTATACTTACATTTAAGTAGATTTTATCTGCATCTGAATTATACAAATTAATTGATGTTATAATCTCAATCCTAAATCTTAATCCCAACTGAGATCATCTTTTCGTAAGGATGACTGTAATTTTCTCATACTTTGCAATACATCTAAGTTCGATTTTGAAGTTTTCGTTTGAACGCGGTCAAGGTTGCGTGGCATGCTTTTCGCCTTCACTGTTGTTACCACTTCGACTTCGCCACCACGAATGGACAACGAATGAGTTTCTCGAGTTCTGTTAACAGGCGCTGTGGACCGCTTCTTTTTGCGTTTTCCCGAACGCGTTAAACGTTCTCTGTGTTGTTTTAACGAGGCAATCTGCTCACCTTTCGTTTCCATTCGCCCAACGAGTTGATCGAGTTCTCGTTCTAAGTCTTCACGAAGGCGCTCGTCTTCAGTATCTTGTATTTGCTTTAGCAATTCTTTATGTTCGCTAAACATAAGGATTCAAGAAAACAATTTTGAGGAATATTTAGGAGAGCAGGTGTAGGGAGGGGGGAGGTTGGGGCTGAAACTTTAGGATGATATGCAACGATCATTAAGCGACATCTTAACGTATGAAAAGTGAAAACTCTTTCCAAATTTCCAAAATATTTCTTTCGTCATGTTATGCAAAATGATATTTAGTAATTTAAAAATTGCTTTAGTAGAGGGAAGAAGGAAGAATCATTCATTGGATAGAAGCAAAAAGTCTGTTGGCAGATGTCAAAAACGACTTCGCTGTCAAGACAATAGTATTCATCGCAAAGATGGGGAAAGCAATGGAGAAAAGTTTATTCAAACAAGATTTCCAATACTTACAATCCCATACCACCAAATTCATCCTGTAAAGCAAGCAGCACTTCGTCAACATCTGATGCATAGTCAGAATCCGACAATACGTTGGTCGTTCGGTAGTATCTTTGACGAGATCTCGTTGCAGCATTGCATAACGCGGGATTGTGACTTTTTAACAAAGATAAAGCTCCTTGAATATTCGCACCAACATTATGAGACTTCGATGTCGACTGAAAATAGTTAAAAAGAAAAAATATACACAACAGAGATCGGCAGTAAATACAAAACCTTTTGGTATCCGCAACCGCACGCATTATTTAATCAAAGAAAAAACAACTCCTAACTCCTGGGGAGTGCTAAGAGCTACTAATTGACTTTTAATTAAAGTTATGTTGATTAATTTTGAATGTATGCTTATAAAAGTGTTTAAAATACTTAGTTTGTTTAACACTTTGATTTAAAAATTGCGTACGGATACACGTCGAAACGATGTCTAATTTTTATTGAGAAAATATTCTTATCACTGAACTTCATTTTAAAGTACTCTAACGTTAATCTTTCGAAGAAACATGTTACGCCATTGTGAAGTAAAACTATATAAAAAATAAGTTTTCTAAATAGTTACAAAAGCATGCTTAAAGTGTTTATATTACGAATTTTAGCCTCCCTTTTTTATTAGCTAAATTGAAAGACCTTGTTTCAGTGATTTTAAATCTGCAATTGGATTGAAATTGGATTGGTGAAAGTGATTTTACGGACGTTCAAAGTCACGATTTTCAGCATTTTTTTGCGAACTTTTTGATCGGTATGCTAATGACTTGTGACGTAGAAAGTTGAACACATATATCAACATGGCGTATTCTACTAGTAATATTAATAAGAAACGCGGAGGAAAACGCTGTGTTGCCGGCGGACCTAATCAAATTGGTTGCGCCAATCATTCAAAAACCGAAGGAATGTCGATGCATCTATTTCCTAAAAAAAAACAGAGCGGCAAAGACATAGAAAATGGGTAAATTTTGTGCGTAAACATAGACCGGGTTTTGAGGCTTCCTCTACCTCGTGTCTGTGCATTTTGAAGATTCTTGTTTTGACCTTAATTTGAGCGTGCAAGTCAAGCTCAAAAGAAAGTTGAAGAAAGATGCTATCCCAACCATTGACGTGGCTGGGATTCCTGAACCATTATAGGACGAAATAACCGATCGAAAGCGAAGACAAGTAAGTTTACGCTTGTTTATGTTAATTTTTCTTTTGTCATATGTAAATTCGATATAAGTTTTGTAGATTATTCGACATACTCTCCATAAGCCATCGCTGAAGAAAACATGTTCTCTCAATGAGGAAGTACCATCTACTAGTGATGGAGCTGAGCATGTTGAAGTATGCACTGGGGAAGCAAACGATTCAGCAAAGAAGGTCAACAGTCTCTACAGTGCACAAGTTAAAAGACCTTTCCATCATCGCCCCTCTGATGGTATGTAACCTTTTGTGTTACCACTTGGATATGCTTGCCGAATAAAGTGGTAAACACAAGCAGGCAAAGGCCAAGTATTTTCCCATCCCATAGACCCACAAAACCATCGCATCAACCATCTGTATGCCACAGCTTTCAAGTACCTGAAGTAAATAAAAAGGTTGGACTAATTATTGTTGATGAAACAATGTTGATGATAACATTGTTTCTCATACAATTTACAATCTTACATATTTAATGATTGTGATGCTTGGCGGCGATAAGCACATCCATTCCTATCTCTCAATAGTGGCCCGACGTTTTCAAGGACAGCCTCATGAACTAAAGGCCCAAATTTGGCATGCTGTGTTATGCATGATATTTTCTCAATGCTGCCATCGAATGTCATTTTTTGCAAAGCTGGTCCTATTTCCTTACAGCATCTGTACTCTAATGCGCCTTCTAACAAATCGGTATGACAGCATTTACAATTACACCTGAAACGTGGGAGCATTATGGTTTATAAAGTAACTTTATGTATATTACAAACAGGAGAAAACAACAACTTACCATTCACCGAGTGGAATTACGCCATCACTTCGTTGTTCTAATGTCGCAGGGAGAATTCCATCGGGATCATCTGGAGTATGCACTTCATCACCATCTCCTGCGAGCAGTTCATCGTCATATGCGAAGTCGTTTAAATGCTCGACATAACCCACGGATTCCGAGCTCGAATCAGATACGAATTCAGACATCGAATTCGAATTATCTGAGCACTGATTTGAGGCCATACTTTCCAGAAAACTTGTTTTTTAATATTTTGTCGAAAATACTGTCATTATTTGTTTTTAAGTCAAGAAAAACGACAACAAAATCACCTCCTATAATATAATATTATATTGACGGAAACAGACGTGTTCAACTATCTACGTCACAACTATCAATATGGCGTCGTAAAAAATTCGCAAATAGTACCCGACTTTGGAGGCAAAATTAAGGAACTTATATTTATCTGTTTAAATCCAGCGACATGTCATAGTTCTTCAAATAATCCAAATTTTCAATTAAGCTCATAAAAAAGGGGGGCTAAAATTCGTAATATAAGCACTTTAATAAGTTCACAGGTAAGTTCAAACAGAAAGAGCTCATTACTAAAAGTGCATGGCACCGCAGACGGCAATTTTAGTTGTTTGATTCTTTCCTGGAAAAAAGATTCTTTCGACTGAAAACAAAAATTCGCTCCGACACAAAAAGAATAATTCTGAATGCATATTTTTCATAGTACCGGGATAAATTCAGAGCCTCATAACGATACACTATATGTCAATGTAAATTTTAGTAGGGTTACTTAAGAATAACGAAAGGAGTTATTGAATTGCAAAACCTCAATACCATACAGTGTAATTACAAAACACTATACATACATACCGTGCCGGCAATAAATGGAATATTACCCATGTTCACTCTGTAATGACATTGTGGTTTAACTGGAGGCGCTGCAGCTTGTAACTGTTTTACCTAAAGGAAATCAACATAATTTTCATGGCAAATGTATTGAATTATATGGGACAAAATGACACTTTTACAAGTTTTTCGAGCTTCAAACCAGCCACAGAAAGAAATTAGCTACTTATGATTTCCAGAAAATACAAATATACCCATATTTCAAGTGAACAGAGTTTCAGTTAAAAAAAGGAATTCCTATCTATAGTTTAAAAATTGATGCTACGTACAAAGACTATATTCGCTTTTTTCGTACTTTTTTATATGGGTTTATACTGGCGATTATATTTGTGTTTAGGCTTATTTAACTCGTGTGAGTTTAATACTTAAAGTTTTCAATACGCAGAAAAAACATCACGTGATGCTGGAGAGAAAAAGTATTTTATGAAGAAATTAAGAACGTAGCTATCCTATATAGTCCGTGATCTGTGACCGATTTTCTTTCATTCCCGTTGGACACCTCAAGGAAGGTCGTGAAAAATTCAAGACAGAACAACTTTTACATGCTTAACGCAGTTTTACTTCTTGTCATCTCCAAAAAGCTGCAGTTTTATTGCTATATTACATTAAAATTTTAAAATTTGTAGATCATTACAATTTCGGAATCCGCCATTTTTCCTGGAAACTTCATGTTATTTATATTTTGTGTGCTAGTGCCAGACCTAATAAAAAGCTATTCCGCACGATAATACTGGAAACATAAATAAAATGCCTAAAAGAAATACATATGTCACTCGTGCATTTGGTTGGATTTTAGCAATTGTTGCGAAGATAATATTTTGAAAGTTATAATCGTATTGTGCAAGACAAGGCCCGCTTTTTTTAAAGGTCTGCCTCGAATTCGTCGTCAATGTCATCATCTAAAAACTCCTCTTCCTCAACATCATCGTCGTCATCAATATCTACATTCGTAACGACGAAACGTTACAATAAATTTGATTTTACAATTTGGTTTTTTTTGGTCTACTTCTATGGCTCTAATCAGAACTTTATGTTGGGCATTAATTTTTATTACACGAATCTACATTCGTGTTTGTAGTACACGACCATACATCTGTACTTCACTCCTGCTTTGTTACATAAACAACGTTGGGAGTTACAGCCACGTTGTTACGTGCGTGGTCCCGAAAGAATAACTATTAATTTTGGTTCTATTTCCACACGCAACAAAGATAGTGTGAACCAGTTATATTTCTCAAACAATTTATTAATCAAGCGTAAATATTAAAATAGATAAGTGTCTTAATAATAATATCAATAAGTATGAGTAAAACTTACCTCCTCTGTCTGAGTACAACCGCGAGTCTTTATTCTTGAGCGTTCGTGAGTCCAACAATGACTCACAATAGTTTTCCAATAGATTAAAGCACAGAAGCCAAAAGATAGTTATAGCACAGAAGCCAAGATAGTTGTCTGGTAGATTGTAGCTTGTCAACCTACTTCGGTAGGCTATGCCTCCTAAGTTTGTCTCCTCGTAGCTTGTGCTCGTAGGTTGTCCTCGTAGGTTGTATCAGACAGAGGAGATAAGTTTTACTCATACTTATTGATATTATTATTAAGACACTTATCTACTTTAATATTTACGCTTGATTAATAAATTGTTTGAGAAATATAACTGGTTCACACTATCTTTGTTGCGTGTGGAAATAGAACCAAAATTAATAGTTATTCTTTCGGGACCACGCACGTAACAATTGGGGGCCCACCCGGGAAGAAAAATAAAAGAAAAGGATTTTGTATGCATTTTAACGTAAATTCTACCAGCGAGTTTAATTGTCAATATAAAATTTCATGTTTGACACAAAAGGTCAAAAGTTCAAGATTTAAAATATCAAGTTTTATAATAAGGGAAAATAATAGTGTGACCTGGTTATAAAAATACAAAATGTCAGAATTTAAGCCGGAAGAGTTTATGTTGGAACCAAGCGAAGATTTATTTGAAAGATTGAGGAAAGATGATTTAATAGCATTGGGAAGATATTTAGAAATCGATTTAAGAAGCTCTTTGCGAAAGCGCGACACACAAGAGCTTGTCAAACAACAATTAATTAGAAATAGGACATTTGAATTGTCTGTTTCTGAAGTACCAAATATAATTGAAAATGAAAATAACGAAAATACATTAGATAGACAGCAACAATGGCAGAGAGAACAGGAAGAAAGGCAATGGCAGAGAGAGTAAGAAGAGAGACAGTGGCAAAGGGAAAGTGAAGAAAGAGAGTTTAGAATTAGAGAGCAGGAGATAGAATTGAAGAAACTAGAACTTGAGGCAGCTAGATGTAATGATTCTTACAGGACTGATAAAGATAATTTTGACTATACAAAACATATTCGAATGGTTCCATCTTTCCAGGAACAGGAAGCGGACAAATATTTTTTACATTTCGAAAAAGTTGCAAAAAATTGTGCATGGCCAAAAAAATATTGGACTTTGTTACTTCAAAGTGTTTTAGTCGGGAAAGCTAGAGATATTTACTCTGAACTTTCCGCTGAGATGTCCTCCGATTACGAGACCGTTAAGGAACTAGTCCTGAAAGGATATGAGTTAGTACCCGAAGCTTATCGCCAAAAATTTCGTAATTTAGACAAAGATTTAAAAGAAACGTACATTCAATTTGCGCAGAAAAAAGAACAATTATTCGATCGTTGGTGTTTATCAGAAAATATAAAAAAAGATTATGAATGTCTACGCCAAATTTTGCTTTTAGAGGAATTCAAAAGATGTTTAAGCAATGACACACGCACATACATTAACGAGCAAAAACCAGATAACATAACAACAGCCGCTCGATTAGCAGACGAGTTCACTTTAACACATAAATATTCGACAAACAGAGTGCACTTGCAAAATCATTCTCGATACCAAAGCAATGTCAATTTAGAGGACAAACTTCCGCCTAAGAATTTTCGCAATCATCCCGAAAACCGCAATCCTCTGAACACCAGTAGAAATGCGAATCCTCAATATGGCGATCGTAACTTTCAAAACAACCTACGAGGACAACCTACGAGCACAAGCTACGAGGAGAAACTTAGGAGGCATAGCCTACCGAAGTAGGTTGACAAGCTACAATCTACCAGACAAATATCTTGGCTTCTGTGCCATAACTATCTTTTGGCTTCTGTGCCATAACTATCTTTTGGCTTCTGTGCTTTAATCTATTGGAAAACTATTGTGAGTCATTGTTGGACTCACGAACGCTCAAGAATAAAGACTCGCGGTTGTACTCAGACAGAGGAGGTAAGTTTTACTCATACTTATTGATATTATTATTAAGACACTTATCTACTTTAATATTTACGCTTGATTAATAAATTGTTTGAGAAATATAACTGGTTCACACTATCTTTGTTGCGTGTGGAAATAGAACCAAAATTAATAGTAATTCTTTCGGGACCACGCACGTAACACACGTTGCAGCCAGTCTTACAACCACAATGAACGTTGTCAAGTAGGGAATCCGGCGCTAGGGGAATGGTCATCCATACGACTTCAGACTTGCAGTTTCCCGTCACTCGTTTGACACCCATTTTCATCCGGAGGCGTAATATCCATTTGTGGTTGTAAACAGAAAGGCCAAAGCGCAGCTTGGTACAAAAATGAAGAAGGCTGTAAGTTCCATAAACTTCCATTGCTAATCAAGAGTTAGTGTAAATATTGCTAAAGTCATTCTTATTGCATTCTGTATACAACTGCGAGGTATTTTGCAAAAAGAAGTTAAAAATCTCAGTTAAGAAGCATAAAATCTCAAAACACCAAGCTAGAACACAACATTATATGATTCTTAGAACAAACTTAACTACTATTTGTTTACAATATGTCAGAAGTGGTAAACTTTTGTATTTTTCAACAATCTCTTTCATAGGTTGTGATGATTGTTAACCTTCAGTTAAGGCTTTATGCTCAAGATCATGTTTTACAGTTCAAGAAAGAATATTTTTCAGTGAGCCATTTCAGAAGCCAGAAAGCTGGGGGTTTTTTGCTTGGGTTGAAGCTTTGTTTTATTGTAAATTGGATTAGCAAGGACTATCATAGATAAAAGTTGTCTTTGTCATACCATGAAAAAGAGAGTGAAAGAGTTCTGGCACATTGATTGAAAAAGTGATCCTGTATATATATTTCTCAACAAGAAATGCAGTTATGATTCTGATCTATACATACTAATTTACTAATTTACTCTGTGTCCGTTGATAAAAGTTTATAATGTTGATTTAAAATACAGAATATCTGAATTAATTTTGAAGTCATTCTTTATATAATAAATGCATGGAAACAGCAACTAAAGATGGTTTTGGGACATTGGTATGTAATAGAGACAAGATCCTCTGTTAGAAGTAAGTGAGCACTTTAATGTTTAGTGCAGCTTCTACAAAACCAAAAAAAATGTTGTCCTTCTATATTTAAAAAGAGAAATTTCAGAATTCTACTCTTCAAAGTAAAGAATGGACTTCACTTATCCTATGTGGAGTGACCTTGTAGTAAGAGTGGTCAAAACATTGAATCAAAGTAATTCTTGTGTTTAGTGAGTCTAATAGCCTGATAGCAATACTTTTAAAACTTTATTTTTGCTCTTGCATCACTTACAACAGGTTAATCAGAAAGGCATGTACTTTATGGCATCTGTAACAGCTGTAAGCTGCTAAATGTTTGTTCTACAATTTTTCCATTTATCTTACGCCTATGCATAATGATGTGCCTCTTTAAAAGCTTATTAAAAAGAAATTCTTTAGTGGTAATGATCAATTTCTTACCAAGCTTTAGCGTTTAAGGAAAAATTTATGGAAAGATGCGTTGCTATCCTTCGAAAAGTGAAGTTGCGCACGATTTAACCATGAGTTCTTAAAACTGACAAGATTTAGGTCTAAAACAGGCTTCTCCTATGTTGATACATAAGTGCAAAGGTGACAGTTTAGGTTTGCTTCCAAAATTTTCGACAGAATTCTTCATTTAAAACTTACATTTTACTTGGACTTTATTAAGAATCTCGCCTTTTTGCCACCTTTCAAGATGGCGCCCGTAAATAAATTTGCCTCACCATGACAACGGCAGTTAGATACAAAGAGTTCCGCACCAAAAAAATGGCGACATTCAAAATTGAAGGAGCGAGGAATTTTGAAATTCAACCGCGAAATACTAAAAAACTGCAGCTTTTTAGAAGTGACAATAAAAAGAATATCAAACAGCAAGTGACTTTCTATATATTTTGAAAATTTTGCGCCCTTCCTTGAGGTGTCCAACGAAACTCATTTTTAAAGCATATTTTTGAGACACAGATCACGGACTAATATCAGAGCCCTCTATAGTATAAGAGTTGGGACATCTATTGTTATCCGTTTTGCTTACGTTGATTGGGCAATATTGATCACCTGATCAATTTCCGCCATTTTGGTTCCTAGTTTTGAAATTTTAGCTTGTGTTTATATAGCAATTGCTGCTAGTAATACAGTATTTTGAGATAATATTGCGTTTTTTTATGGATAAGTGTGTAATAACTGATTGTTGAAGGCTACTAAATGTCATTACATATCGCATAAATCGAGGATTACGAAAAAAATGAAAGAAATGCCTTTACGTCGAACTTACGAAATTTGATTGCGTATGGTGATTGTTGTGCTGAACTGCTTTTGATATAAGGTTCAATTAACTGACTCAAGTAGAGAAACATTTTGGGCCAAATAACATTGCAAAGTTCGTGCTGATGCAGTTTCAATAGTTTTCTTACTCCAAAGCTTGTTTTTTAATCGAAGATGATTTCTCATTATGTTCTGAAATTGGTCAATCTACAAACCTCTCAATTCTCAGCCACTTCCATACTAAAACAACTACACCAAATCACAGAAACTCTTATGATTTTCCATGTTGTATTTTGTATTTTTAGTTCATCATTTAAAAATGAAGTAATTATAATTAGGATATTCACTGAAACAGCTGAGTACAATATATTTTTGGTATTGAATTGTACAAATGTACCCTACTTCTGTAGCTCAAAGTAGAACATTACTTCTCTTCTAGACTTGTTGATGATATTTTAATTGTAGGTTTTGGTTTATAAGATCACAGAGGCATATCTCCATAATTTCAGCTATTTGGGCTTTTAATGTATATTACAACTGTTGCTGCCTTTCTCATATATATTAAAATATTGCCGGCTTTCTGATATATATTTAGGTTGTGCTGGCTTTTTGATATATATATATTTCACTGGCAATACAAGGCATAGAATTTGAACAAACGGGGCTGAGCTCCCTCCAACACACCCCTGTTTGATCATTAAACACATATAGAAGTTTTGTCATTCCTCAACAAATAAATTTAACTCTTTGCTAAATTAAAGATTGGATCAGACTCATATGCTGTATAAAAGACTACAAACAGTAGCTATTATAGCAAACAGACTGTTCTTCGACAACAGAAATGTTTCATATTATAGAAATAATATATTCATTTTAAAGAAATGCTTCACCAAAATTTTCAGCAGAATCCCTAACAAACTTTATTAGAAATAAACTTTAATACTTTATAAAGTGATAAAGGCGAAATAACTTCATATAAAGGAATAAAACGTTTAAGGTCAAATGCATCTTGGTCAAATCATTGCATATTTCAATAACTAAAAAGTAAAAAAGTCTGTCATTTTCTGCTGAGCAAGAAAATTTTGCGTTCTTTCAGAATAAAAAATATCATGCTTGGATTAAATTGGGGCATAAATCACTCACTACCATTAAATTGTTACAAATCTTGAACACAAATCTCTCCGGACCAAATCTGCGTGATTACTATGATTCGAAGTTTCGAACAAAGTTTTGTCCAAGTATTTGATAACACTGATGCCAGGATAACATTGCCGCTTGCCACCAAGCTTAAAGATCTTGAAAACTTGTTACAGAGTCGGAACATAAGCCGAGAAAACACGTTCACGTACGAAAAATACTTCTTACAATGGGTCACGATCAATTTGAAGCACGAACTAGGAAACCGCAAACGAAGCTCAAACCAATGAAATTAAATCAGGTCTGCCGCAAATCGTTAAAAAAACGCAATGAGCTTGCTATTATTCCTAATATATTTGATACTACCATGGAATAAGCTTAAATTGCTTTCTTCTTTTGCATATAAACCCAATTTCCAATAGTATTATTATAGTTTCACTTTGCAAGTAGGAACCAAAATGGCGACTCCGCGCTCGCCCCAGACCGTTTGTCCCAACTCTTATACTATAGAGGGCTCTGACTAATATAGGTAACCAGCTATCTCTAACAACAGCATAACCGGAAGTAACAATCCTTAACAACACAGACAAAGGATTATCCCTAACAAAATTTTTATTAAAATAGCTTTAACAAAACAAGCCAACCTTTCTCTTTTTTTTAATCTTTTTAGATTCGGGTATCGGTGAAGCGGCCATTTTCATTAAAATTCTGTTCGTCTCCGCCGAGGTAACAAGCTAAAATTATTAATTATGAGCAAACTAAAAGTTTTGCAGATTGTAATGTTTGTTATCTTCAATTGTCAGAACGAGCGCCAATTTTCTTCCACTATTTATTATAAAAATTTCTAAAGAAAGTTTGCTCACTCCTTAAAAATAGCCCTATAGATTTATCGAACATCGCACCAAAGGCTTCAAATTAGTTTGCATATCAATACCTCGGCAGTTTTGTCTTCAATTAACTTCCGTTTATGTCTTTCCTCTAGGAGCTTTTCTTCCAATTGACGAATTTTATTCTGCAAAAAGCAAAGGAAATAAAATTTCATATGCTTCTCAAAACAGATTTCGCTTCTTAAGTCGCACAATGGTTGTCAAGTCTGTCCCCTAAGGACGGATATTCAATAAAGCAAATTTCGATATTCAACAGATGAGGGAGTGACATGAAATAATCCCTTGGAACGACAAAATTCCTGCAACAAGTTAAGTATTTATTCACGTGGATATAATTTACAATATCATAAATATTTGGTATTTACAGATCATTCAACATCAAGAGACTGAGTAATTTCATGGGTCAATATAGATGATTTTCTTGAGTAGCTACGTGACACCAATGCATTAAATGACGTCATGTTTATGTTTTATTTTTCATCGTGTTTTAATCGTGTAACAAAATGATTACGAAATCAACAATAAAAAACACGATTGATCAGCAACGATTGACATTGCAAGAGGCTAAGTCTAAAGTCGTTTTACTACTTTTAAAATCTTCAAATATTTCAAGTGGTACACAAATGAAGGTAAAATACGAAATATTTAGAAAATCTTAATTTCGTATCTTTATTCCTTTGACAAATTGATTACATTTTTTGAGCCAAAACAAACAAAACAAATGAAAAATATCTTCTTTTTGTTCACTATTATCTGTCTTTCCTCGCTCATTCTCAATGCTCATGCCACTTATTTAACAAACGTCAACTCCGGCAAAATAGTGCGCTTTGATTGGCCTAGAAACAATTCTGGCTATCCAAAAAAAATAAATTTCCCAATGCAAAAATTTTTCAACTCCGCGTATCGTTAATAAGAGGTAAACAATTTCATAAACTAACGTCAACTCACCTCGGCTACAGTTTGTGCAGCATTCAGTTCGATGTGCTGCCGTTCGAGGCCGGAAATCTTCTCCAGTTTGCTCTGCACATGCTCAGACGCTTGCCGTGCGGCTTGTTGTGCAAGACTTGTAGAACGTTGAATGGCCTCATTTCGATCCACTTCGGCAGACTGAAGCATCTTGCGCATGTATTCAAGTTGTCGCTCAAGAAGCGTGCATTTTGCTTCGGCACTCGCGAGGTTGTTTACTTCAACTATAAAACAAACATTTGTGGTTAAAAGAATCAACTCGACAATGAATTCATACACAGTTGCGCTTGACTAATTTTTTTTTAAAAGCCAATTTAACTATATACCCACATTCCAAATAACGTTCTAGCTACGGCCCTGTGAATTGCTTCTAGTTGATAGGCAAACTCGACAAAAATCTTGGAATGTACTTTCAGTGTGCGATTTAAACGTATTTATAACTGACAAAAACAGTTGCTCAGGCAATAATAAGGCGAAGACCCCAAACATATAAACGAAGAATAATGACGCGGGCCTGTAGGTCAGCAGGTGCAAAACTGACAAATCATTGGTAAAAAACGTTGCTTGTCGTTTGCAAAAAGGCAATATGAGCATAAATAATTAGCGTTCTAAGAGATGAATCTGATTGAAATCGATGAAGAATAATGAAGAAGTGAACAAAGTGATCGCAACTGAGAAAGAACAGAAAGCCTACGAGATTATTTTTGAAATGAATGGAAAAATGAGCTTAAAGATGATGTAACAAATAACTATGTTTAAAAAAGCTTGTGGCAGAATCTACTGCAGAAAAAAATTTTTAATCATGCAATGTGCATGGCAATCGTCGCTAAAATTACTCGGTGACAATCCACAACAGAGTTTGAAAGTTAAAACTACGCAAAGATGGAATTCAGATCATTAACATCAAACAAACACCATAAGGTTATAGCTTTAGAAAAATCGTTGTCTCTTAATTCACATAAGAGGAAGCCAGGGAAGCAAGATCGTAGCAACAACGCAAATTGGAGAGAGTGGGGGTTACGTTTGTTCATAAATTCAGTTGAGCCCAATTCACTTTCAAAAGAGCTCAGTTGCTTTGAATTAAAGAGTCTTGGTTCTTCCTCTCTAACTTCTCTTTTGTTCATAAAAAGCAGGCAGTAGAAAGCAAATCACCGCTTACTATCAAATTCATGACAACATCTGGTCAGATGATCCAGCAAAAACAAAACAAAAACACTTAACATTACGACACGTTTCTTCCAAACTTACTGCAAGTACATTAAATTTTACGAAACAAGCAAAAAAATCAATGAAGAGAGCAGAGTAACTTTATAACGCAAAACAAACGAACTTCATTTATGTCAAATTTCTGACATTTTCAAGTTCCTTATCTCATTGTAAAGTTCGAAAAATTCCGCACAACTCTAACCGCTTTTTTGCAAGTTCGTGGTTTCTAAGACAAACTGACTTCCTTACTATCGATATACTTTGAAAATAGTCTTTATTATACCTGCAGGTGATTCGGAGCGACTCTGTGGCGGAGTTTTTCTGCGTTCTTCGCCTAATCTATATTGATATTTTCTGGCTTCAGTAGAAAGTTGTTCTAGATTAACCTTGGCCTGACCACGGTCCAGCTCTAGTTTACGAATTTTCTCTTGCAAACTCTTCAACGCTGTGATCACAGCTATAAGGACAATATGAATTACTGCAGGATACCATATTCATGATTTGTACAATGCAGGAGTAATTAAACTCAAACAAATTTCAAGGACATATTTTGAACAATTTATGTACATAGAAGACCTTGAATAGCACACAAAGCACAAATAAAGTCGTTGAAAATATGGTCAAAATTAAAACAAAAAAAATTTTTCTATTGAATCAAGTGTAAATGGTGTATTTCCACATGACTTAAAGGGTGCCATGTTGTTAGGTTACTTCAAATTCTAAAATGACCCTTTCGTTTCTTTTCCGTACAATGAAAGGTTGAGAATACAATTTCAACTCCACTTTGAAGACAAAATAGTGTGATGACATGTTTGGAAAAATTTGATTAAAAAAATTGAATCAAGCACTTTCAAGCACATATCAATAAATTCCCCCAAGTACTTTTAAGGCTGGTTGACTCTGACGACTACCAAGCTAAGGTTGTGATCAACATCAACACCAACAGTCCTTCTCAGGACTGAACCTGGACAATCTACATCAATAAACATGTAACAACACTCCCAAGTTAAAACTATTAACTGTATAAAGAACCATCTTTTATGTTACCTCGATTATTGTTTTCAGGAAAAGTGTTCACTTCCACTTTGGCATCATTATCATCCTTGCCATTTCCAGGATATTTATAGTATGAACCAAATGAACCATTTATAGGAAATGATGAAGTTGATCGGAAGCTGGCCTTTATAGATGCAGAGTGTGGATGTCGATCTGAATACTATAGGAAAAAAGAAATAGAGAGTTGTGGTAATGGTGTTGAGGTTAAGTGCAAATCTATTTATTTTTCTATTTATTTATATATTCAACTCTGCTATTTAAACAGCAAGGTTATTGCAACAGTTTGCACCACCTATTGCAACATTCCCTTGTCATAATTCAATTGTCATAATCTGCACACCAGAAAAAGAGTTTGTGATAATTTTTTTGACAGTTCAACAACAAGTAATAAAGCCTTTCATGTTGCTTAAAGTAGACTTTTTATAAGCATGTCATGATCAGTAAAAAAATCTGCGACACTCAATAGCTACAAATGTGCACTGCTATATTATCATTTAGTAAACTAACTCCAGGTTAATGTTAAATTTGTCACCACAACTAAGTCTTTATTTTACTAATTAAATGAACACCAGTAAAATTAATTGTGAAACAGCTTAAAAAGAGCCAGCTTGCAAAGATGAATTCTATAGAAACAAATGGCCTTATCATACAAGGTTTCTATAGAGGACATCGCATAGGTTGAAAGTCACATTTTATTTGTAAATGGGCAAACCTCAAACAAAAACGTGAAATTTTCCAGTCAAGGAATAATTTCATCTATACCAGAGTAACAGAAATCTTCAGCTGTAGCTCAAAATGCAACTTGCTGCTATTTTTCTAACGATCACATAAAAGGATTTTTTTAGAAGGAAAATTTCAAAAAATTTTCCACAGGCTGCGCAGGCATTTGCTAAGCTAGAACAACACACAAAGTATGAAGGCATGATCTACAGGAGCTGAGCCTCTACGCAGCTCTGGAAAAATTAGATACTGTACTTTGTTTATATTTTGCTTATGTAGATATTGCATATGATGGCAACAGGACTCTCTTTCGATATTTTTGATACAGCAAAGGCTAACGTAAATCAAATATGTTTGATTAACACACTCAACGCAATTTTCTTTGAGCAGTTTCAACAAGTACGAAGACTATACGCAAACGTAGTACATCATCAAATTCATCATCATTTAGGTAATACAATTTAAATAGCACGTTTTCAGTACATAGTCGATACAGTTTACAATACCGTTTCAAAATCACTTTCCATGATGCTTTCTTGGTGTTGAAATGAAGCCCACAGTAATTAGATAAAGAAAAAAGTTTAATTTCGCCATGTAAACAGTAAAACACCTGCTTTTGTAAAGCTTATCCTCACAAGCATTTCGAAATTGGCGTCGGTTGTTTACGTCACTGCACGGTTTATTTATGTGACAACCGCTGACTGTGTACAGTCACCGTCAGGGGCGGATCTAGAGTATGTCAAATCCGTCGCGCGACTGATGTTTGAAATTCAAAAATTACCTATTCATATTAATTAAAAATTCATTAATTATTCTTACTTTATTATCGCATTTACTTCGTGATAAACATCCAGCTTTATTTATTATTGAAAACTAATGACTAATGCAATGAATATCTCGTTGGTAACCAGATCAGTTGAATTTTAATTGACCTGGAATAACCGACTGATAAGCGGGGTGGCTTGACTGGTTCGACGGATAAAGGAGTCTATGAACGCCAAAAACGCTTATTTTATTGGTCAATGGCCAGATCAGTGGACAGTCTGGAATGGTCGCGACTGATAATAGGGGTGGCCGGACGTATAAGGGAGTCCAATTGCTATCTTGCAATTGGTTCATTTGAATTTTTGTTTTATTGTGATTGGTTTGACGGATTTCGACTGATAGCCAACTGAACTAACATAGTCAAGCTCACTGTCTGAATTGAATGTTTGATCGTTTCATAGTAATTTTTATAAGCATGATAGAAACTAAACTACAATCAGATGGAATTTATGGAAATCTTTTACAAATTGATATATTGACATGAATGCTGCTGTCCAAACTGTGAATTTTTTCAAGAGGGTGAAAAATTTATGGATAAATTGTAAATGCTTGGCAAAGACGATCTCGCGAGCGACATTTCAGTCATTAAATGAGATATGAACTTTCGCCTCAGGACCTGAAAAAATCAGGTGACTCAACGGAATCCCGTTGAGTCACCTGATTTTTTCAGGTCCTGAGATGATTGCTTAAATTGTCCAGCAAAGTGCGAAGATCATATCTTCATTTAATTTTAAACACCGCACTGCATAAGACATTAATATTTCAGTCATTGATGTTCAAAAGAAAGCCAACATTGTTTTGAGTTTTATCAGACAAGACAAGTGAAGTGTATGCATGAATGTAATATATCAAAGTCAATTTATGCGAGTGTGTGATGCGATTTATGTCAATATGGCGTATGGTAAGCAGATTGATGCTTCTAAAATTGTTGTTGACGAGTGAGTTTTAGCTATGATTTCTTTAGTGCTTGGGGAATCGTGGCCGTTATATGGCAGCGAAATCCTACATTCCTGCAAATATATTTCAATGGACAAAAAATCTGTAGCCATAAGGCGCCATACCATTATTTACTTTATCATAAACAAATGTTTGGGGCTTTTCAGTTTATGATCATTGATCATTCAATTATTGGACAGTTATACTACATATTGTTTAAGATTTGAGAAAACTAACATTGATTACATGAGAAGCTGTTTACTATAACCTGTGATTTTGAGTCTTCTGATCCATGAAGCTTTTTATTTTGACAATTTGACTGGAATGGTATGAAACCTTAGTATTTCACATACATGAAATGTTGTCCCATGTCACATATTGTCCCCTTTTCTAACTGAATACCTCATGTAGAGATGTAAAGGTGTGTTAATCTACGGCTCATACCAGATTGTTTGGATCATCGCCAGAACTCAAGTCAATCAAACAAATTTCGAGCAGCAGATACCTAGTTGGACAGGCTTTAATTATTTGTTGTGCGATAACGACAGCAACAGCTGCAATAAAATTGGATACCTGCCGTCGATTAACAGATCTCCAACGTCCCATGATACTGTTCTGGAACTCCTCAGTCAATCAAAGGTGAAGGCAGAAAAACTTGGTTTAATCGAAACAGATGTGGTGCTAGATATGGCAATATACGCTAAGGCTGTGGAAGTTATGATGAATCCAAGGTACATAGATCTTAAGCAGTTCGTTGTTTTGCGGCTTGGCGGGTTTCATACAATGTGTATATTCATTGCTTCGGAAAGAGGTTTGCTGATGCTAGTCTTCGCGATATCGTAATCGAGGCAAATCCTCCTGGTGAAAAGACTTATTTTCGATAGTTTTAAACATTCGAAAAACGACAAAACAGAGTGAGCTTTATGAAAGATTAGTCAACTCAGTTGAGTTAGAAAAATTCTTTTCCTCTCCAACAAAGCAACTCTTATAAAACCTTAGCTGACATCACGCCAGTCTGCTCGATGAGTTACAAATTTATGAAGATTCTGTCTTAAATGGTTCTCTTGGTCCAACAGCATCCGTTACTCGATTTTTCAAGATCAATCAAGCTCGGGAAATGGAAATTGCATCTGCAATCGACAGAAAACATGCTTCCCTGGATGTTTGGCTATGATCGTCCCAAATGCGCACGCTTTCTGACCTACTACCTGGTAACCATGAAAAAGCTTCCAGAAACACATCCTGCTATACACCAAGAGTTTGAAGCAGGTCATTTTTCTGTCAGAAGACAACCAGGAAGTCTCAACAAGATACCATCAGATCAAGCTATAGAGCAAACAATCAGCAAAGAGCAAAAATGTGCATGTGGAATTGTTGGCTATAGTACATCAGAAGGAACAGTTCAAAGATGGGTATTAACAAGTCATATTGCTGCAAAGTGTCAATCAAGGATGGAGGAGTTCCTAGGAATCAGCTCAAAATATTTTTTCAGCTAAAACTGAAATTAAGAAGAAAATAAGCATTAAGAGTGAAATTAAGCATTAAGACTGAATCTTTAATGTTTCAATATGGCATGCATTACATATAAGTAACATTCCAACAACATTATACTAAAATAATTCAATAAAGATGTGACATGATTTTACAATTTAGTTATACAAAACACACTGGATGGATTGAACAGATACAGGAAGTCATCATCAATCTCAGTATCAATATTGACATAAGCACAAATTTTATGACCTTTTTACATGACATTTCATCAAGCATCAAGACACACATAACCTTGTTATCTTATTTGGTACTTGACCTTTACTTTCAAAGCATTCAAGGCATCTTTATTAAATCCATTATCTCCATCCATAGAATTAGTCTAAGTTCAAATAACTGTTGGACAGGGAAGTCCGTAAATCATTTACCTTTGTTTGTATTCAGCCTTAGCATTTGCAGTTAGACTCTGTCTAGTCAATAGCATATAGTATCTATGAAATAGTGGTACTGCATCATATTCCAGAAACATTTTGCTATCCGATCATCTCTTCATGTTGTCAGAATATTGACTAGAACAAACTCTGCTCTACTTCATGGATTCTCTTTGGGGGAGATCGTTTCTTCATAGTATCTGCCACTGAGTAAAATGAGCAGAATCTGTTTTCGCGTCAGGGAAACTCTTTTTCAAAAAGATTTACTGTTTCGCACATTAACAAATAAGTGGAAAAGTATGTTGATATTTAAAAACAAAAACAGGAAAACAACAGTCGGATTTTATCGCTTAGGCTTCAAGTTCAATTGCTTTTCAATTTTTGATGAACAAACAATACAAATGTCTCACCTGTGAAAGCGACATGTTCCTTTTTGTGGACACTACGATATCCATCAATTGAATGATTGAAGTTTTGGCATTTTAAAAGTGCCAAAAAAGATATCGTGTTTGTTTTTGAAAAAGCTGTATAATTAGCTATAGACATCAGGGGGAGGTCCAGAATATAATTTTTCTGCAAAGCGATCATTTCAGCGGAAATAGGTCCATTGGCCGCCATTTTTTTGGCGTCAGGTCTCAGTCCACTTAGCCCCTCCAGTTATTATAGAACCATTGAGTTCTATAATATGAGAACAATGCAAACTTGGTTCTTAAACATTTTCATACCAAAGGCGCAAGTCAACGACTTCGTAAATTCTTTGAAAATTTTAGTTTTTTCGCGTTACAATAACGCAATAGAATGCAAAAAAATTTCCAATTTGTTTTTGTAAACTTAAAAATGTTAGACATGTCCTCTTTTCCTCGCTATCTGTTTCTGTCATTAAATATCTTATAGATATGTTTTTTGGCATCTCGTTTCCATTGTTTTTCAAGGATTTTCATTCGTTATTGTTGCACAACCTTCTTATTTTGGTGTAGTATACTGGATAAGATTGAAGCAAGAACGCACGCACAATATTTCTAATTATATATACAAATTGTCACTCTCTGAACGCTTAACCTCACCGCCATTGGATTGTGGTGTTCTCTGCGGTCTTTCCCAGAGATTATAATATGACGTACTGCACATCACGTGCGTTATTATTATTCTTTGTTTGGGTTACGAAATTTCATCGCGTTAAGCAATTTAGTCAGCAAATCTATGTCACTGTTCAGCAAAATTTTGCCGATACCCCCAAACAACATAGCGCTGGCACTGCCCCTGCTTTGGCTGACTAATGGACAGTGTTTTTAACTTACGGTTTCGTTGTAAAACCATTTCCAGACCATACTTTATTTCTCTCAAGTCATCTACATTAAACCTTTCAGCAATCATAATCTTTTCCTTCTTCAACATTTCTGAATTGTTGGAAAACCACAGCATGTCGTCGGCGTAAAGAGCCATTATCACGAAGTTAATCTTTCCATCCTTTTGCTTTATTGACTTAACATAGACGCATGGATCTGCACCTGACTTCTCATATCCCTTCGATATGAGGAAAGTGTCAATAGAAGTATTCCAACATATTGCTCTCCCTTTTGAGGCCATATAAATACTTTTATTTAGCTTAAACTCAGGTTTGTCTTTGCTAACATAACCACAGGGCTGTCTCATATATATCTCGTCTTGCAATTCTCCTTGTAAGAACGCTGTTTGGACATCCGTTTGATGAATTTCCCAATTACAGATATTCGCAACAGCCAAAAGAGATCTTATAGTGGTATTATTCACCACAGGTGAAAATACTTCTTGGTAATCTATACCTTCGGATTGAGAATATTCCTGAGCGACCAAACGAGGTTTAAGTCTGTCCACAGTTCCGTCAGGATTGTGTTTTACCTTGAAAAACCCAGCGACTTTTCAAAGTACCCAAATAGTTACCTTTTCTGGGTGATCCGATGATTTTTTTTTTGAGCCACGAAACGGTAGACCGCGTTCAGATAGGTAACAGATAGTTTTTACTATCCGTTGAAGTACAGCACGACAATAATCGCGTTCTGCATTGGCCTGTTTAACTAGTTCCAAATCAACACGGCAACCAGCATCACTTCGTCGGAGCAGCTGAATCACAGCCTCTGGGTGCAATGCATTTTTTTCGAGCAATAGGATTTTATTGGATTCGTGTTTCCAATCGTTATATCCTTGCTTCCCAAAAACGTTACTGTCGTTCATCAGTTTACATGCAAAGCAGAGTTGGCGAGTAAAAGAGCCGGGTTCGAGGGTGTTGCTGTTTTGTGAGCTCATGCGTGTATGTAAACAAACTTTTCTGGTACTGGCGTTTGTAATTTTTCTCCCACAGATTTTCTGGAAGGTGCACTAAAATCTGCATCCAAATTTCTACATTTGCTACTTCCTTTTGCTACCCAGTATTTTTTCATGCTATCCGAAACATTGGGAGGCCACATACCTAAATCACAGGAGTAGGTGTCAACTGCATATGTATCACCAGATGTTATTGTCAGTGTTTCTGCACGGAATCTGTCACTATTGCCACGATCATGGCCGTATCATTAATAGCCGACTCAGCAGGATTGCAAGTAGATTGCAAATCCGTAAGGGCCTGTGCGCTGCATTCAGCTGCATTGCCGCCACAATTGCCAACGCTAGTCTTTGGAGAAAACAGTGTGAATATCATAGGGACTTTATTCAAAACTTTACTTTACCATGCAACACGTTCCTTCTTTGCCTTGCGTTTTGCCGTTCTAGACAGACTAGACTCATATTTGCGATTTTTGTCCCGGTCACGGCTACCTTGGGAACTTATAGAGCATATAGCTCGTAAGACTCGTCTGTAACAAAGACGAACACTTTTCATTTTAAACCTTTTATTTATTTTACAAACGACAAGTAAATTACATCTCTGAGGTATTTCTATGCTATCTGTTAGAATCAATTACTTACATCTATTTATACTAACGGTAATTACGACAAAACATAGGTCGAGCTTTCCTTTTACGTCATTAACTGTACAACAAAAAAGAAGAATTAACTAAACAAAGAAAGAACTTACAAAACGTACTTAAAACAAAGAAATCTTAACTGGAAACTGACTTAACTACGATATTTTATTGCTATGCTGAAAACAATGCAATATCCCACATCTTATTTCGCCTCGCCTTTTGATTTCTAATATCTTGCGTTATTTATTTTGCTCCGATCGTGTATGCTTTAAAAAGCATTTATTTTGATTTATGGGACCTCGCTTTTTGGAGTTACGTTATTTTATATTACGGGTCTTGGGCCCTTTTTCCGTCTACCAACGCGCCGAAAAAAATTAGAACTTATAAAGCGCGGGACCCCTAATGTGCGGGGCCTGTGGGCGGACGCCCCTTCTGCCATATGGTTAATCCGGCCCTGATCACATTCGTGGAAAGACTGTGAACAATACTGCCGACTTTGGCTTCAAATTTCGGGGCGAAGGTAGCCTTCCAGTTATAATTTTGCGCAAATGGCAGCTGACCAAAAAAAAGAGATGCTCACTTTATTTTTACATAATTGTATTCGACACATTCAAAATTCGACGTTTAAAAACAGCCTGAAGAAGTACCATAATAAACACTTGGTGACTGGAAAGCACCAATGGAGTAGCACTAGAGGGAGTTGTTGGAGGAACCTCCATTCGCCCCTTCTCACCACATCTACTGCCACCATCATTTCAGCTAACGGAAATGAATTTGTTGGAAACTACGCAATGGTGAATAGCACGCGAGAGAAACATTGTTGCAAGAACGAGTTTTCAACATTGCAACTTTTGAAGAACGAAGGGAACCCGCATTTCATTTTTTTGCTTCTCCAGGTCGATAATTTTACGGCAAACCCGTCGCACAGCGGGACGTCACGGCAGCTGTTCAGTCATGATCATTGATTATCATGTCATGATTATCCGAACATTAAATTAACAAAATTAAAGATAAATTGCGAGAATGGAAGTATTTATGGAGTCAGTTTTTATTATTTGATTTGCGATTCTTCATTCTTCGCTCACTATTAACCACTAGTGTAAACTGTTTAAAAAAAACGCCGTTCGCCGTCAGCTCGTGTGCCTACATTAGCATTAATAAAATATTCCTTTGTAACACCACCAACATAGCCAATGAATTTAAAGTGATATCCAAGAATGTGTTTGCAGCAGTTTACAAACCATAATTTTAAGCTAAAAATATCGAGAAAGCCAGTCACTTTTTTCGTCCGATCAAGCAATTTCATTCCTCTCAAGCAATTCATTCCTCTCAAGCAATTTCATTCCTCTCCCCCCCTGCTTTTAAAACGTCTTTCTCCCCTCCAAAGCATTGTGTATCAGCAGGAAATGCAAAACTCCAGCATGCTTCCTGTACTCATGCTCAAGCAGGCATACAATTCACAACCCTGTCTTTATTTATGCTTTCATGTCATTTTGTTTCATCGCTACAAAAGAGTTTATTTTATGCCGGCTGGCCGAAAGATTGCATCTTCAAAAAACAACAGGTCGAATGTAAAAGCTCATTATGATTCACGTGAAGTTTACAATCTTCGGTAAGCGACAATGAATGCTGTGTTGATGTTTTCCAATGAATACGTTGTAAAGCATATCTATTATATTTGGTCCAATACTGTACAAAAGCAATCTGCAACGTAATGATATTACTGCTTTGGTTATAGTAATAGTTTTTCCTGCTAAGTTATTTTCAGGCATATGTCAAATTAACGTTGTGTATTTGCGTTTAATATAATATACGTTTGTATTTTTCATACCCTTGAATGAAAATGCCAGAAATACTCCTGTTTCCCTACATTGGCGTAGTATAAATAATCGCATTGTTGAATAAGCAATAGTTATGTCGTTTGCATTGTCAAATGTAGAAGAAATTTACGGGGTTTTTTCATTTTTCTCAAAAAGGAATATGCCTGCCAATTCGAACGTAGCATCACCGACTTCGTCCTCCTTAACTACAAGAGTTAGCACTCTAAACAAACCGCTTATTTATCATCGAGATCATCCTATGACTCCCGTTTTTACAGCTCTTGGTTTTGAATTCTTTTATTTGGTTTACGGACTTATCGCATTGCTCAGTCAGTATGTGAATATTTACCAAATGGTATGTATTATATTTGTGTTTCGTTTTTACGTCGACTTTTGTTTACATTGTGTTAGAGAATTCAAACAATTTCTTTGAAAGGCGTTTGAAAGTAATGCAATGTGCTTGTTTGTGCAAAAGTTGAAAAATGTACATTTTGTACATATAGTACCTCATATCATCACCTGTAATTGTAAATTGATATCGCAAGCTTTTGTCATTTTGAAGTGCTTGATATTGTAACTTGGCCAATGGGGTTTGACGTTCACATGCGTTAAATAAGAAATATTTTTTCGATTGATTTTATGTCTAAATGATCAAATGATGATTTTAAGATCTTTAAAAAATTTAATATTTGCAGCCATCCACTTCTGTATTTCCTAACACATTTTTATTGGTTGATTTATTGATATTTGATTGGGGATTTTTCACAGGAAGATGTTGCTTTGATCAATTAAGAGTATATTATTAACAACATTGGATGAGTTAATCAACAGAGAAAAAAATTTTTACTACGAAATTCTTTTCGAGTTTTTTTCTGTGCTTTTAATAAAACAGTGAACACTTTAAACAGTGTACAGATTAACAATGTACACTTTGCACTTTGTTTTATTTAAAATATAAAAAATGCCCATCACTCTTTCAAACTTTCAAAACAAGGTAATATTATGCATTGATTACAAGCATTCAAATTGGCATTATTTGTAACCTGATGTCAATATGATGTTTTATGGTATGATGTAAATAGCAATAAGAACAAAAGAAAGTTGACACATTAGAGTGGTAGTGCACTACATGGTTCAATAAATACACATTTTAAAGTTATTAGTTTATTGCTACATCATACTTTGCTCATTGGTGTATGTATTTCTTTCATTGTTACTCTATGTTGCTGCATGTAAAAACTAATCTTGATTTGAATAAGACTTTTGGTGTGCATTTTCCTTGAAAAAATTGCAATTGGTTTTTCCTTACTGATTCACACACGACATAGAAAGGAATCATATAGCTTGCAAGTAGAACAAATAAAACTTGTTGATGTCGAAAGGTTGTCATCTCATCAAGAGAGAAAAATGTTTTTATGTTTTTGTGAGAAATTATTGAAAATGTTTATGTGTGACTGTGTATGTTGTAACAAGGTTAACCTCATCATTAATAGAACAATTAAGCTATGTTTTTAACTTCATTTTTATAAATGAAAAAATGATAAATAAAATAATCATTCAAACCAAAAACAGTAAACATTTGGTTGCAACCCATTAGCCATTCCTGTGATTTCACCTAAAACAGTTCTCTTGTTTTATCGAATGCAATCCCTTGATGGAACCACAATCTCTCCTTCATCGTCCTTTGCTTTATTCTCTTCTATTATCTCTCTAGAACTATCACTTGATTAATTACCAAGAAGTTCTGGTCATTGCTCTCTTCCTTATGAGAAGAGTTGGATGGATTGTTTTTAAGCAGGTTGAGTAATCATTCTTTAATTCCAGGGCTTAATTTCATATTGAGATGTTCCTTTATGCATGATATGCATGAACCAACAACAGTCTCTCAAACACATACATAGAACATTGTGCAGGAGTAAAAGATGTTAAGATATTTATGTTCTTCTTATGTTTATCATAGTCCTTGTGCTTATTTGCTATAGCTTGGTACTTATCCCCTATACCACTCACACACAATGCTTGGGTGCTACTCCAATGCTAATTTGGGGGGGGTATATTCATATATTCACTTGTGCTTGACTGATTTCCTTTGAGAGTAAATTGGCTTTCTAAAGAAATCAGTTGGATACAACTGAAAATGCAAATACACTCTCTCCCAATAAACGTACTAGTGCATTCCCTGAAATAATCTATATCTTCCATAGGTTCAGTGGCGAAGCCACTCCAGTCATTTATATTCTCCTACAATGCAAATTTTTCAGCAAAATTATGATTCATTTCTTTAGAAAATTTCTTCCATCTGTTGTTTTTCCAGTGAATGAACACAAATATATTTTCATTGTAGGAGTAAAAGCTTAGCAACTGCACAGGTTTATGTACCATTTTGTTTAAACCTTTGTTATCTGGACTTTGGTTTCATGATTGTTGTTCATGTGCAACAATGACCACTGAAGTGTTAAGGACATGGTACTTGCTCCCAAGCACATCTTTATTTTTTCTTAAATATAAGTTGAATCAACTCATATAGAAAAAAATTAATTGCTATTCAATCTCATTCAATTAATCTGGGTTAATATTATTTATCAAACCATTCACTAGTAACTTAGCTCAGTACCATTTCACTATTATGCTTCGTGACTATTTTCTATATTCCAGATTGTGCTGATCAAGGAGATGACATCAGTGTGGATTGTTTGTTCTGCGCTTCTCAAAGGACTTATTCTGGTGCTTGTAATGGCTGCATTCATGATACTGATGTTGCAGCTGTACCGAACCACGTCGCTTGTGAATATCTTACTCTTCATTTATCCGTATGTACTTCACGTAAATATTCTAAATCAGATCGAGCTTGACCAGCCAAAAAATGGTGTTTTTTTTTGCACCAAAATTCGACATTGTATTGTTTGCAAGTTTGTTGACAATAATTTACTCCTGTGCAATGAAATGGCATTGGACCGTATCTAATAATGTAGTATGTTAATAACAATAAGAACAAAAGAAAGTTGACACATTAGAGTGGTAGTGCACTACATGGTTCAATAAATACACATTTTAAATTTATTAGTTTATTGCTACATCATGCTTTGCTCATTGGTGTATGTATTTCTTTCATTGTGCTTGCAAGTAGAACAAATGAAACTTGTTGATGCCGAAAGGTTGTCATCTCGTCAAGCTTAAATGAAGAGAGAAAAATATTTTTATTTCTTTGTGAGAAAATATTGAAAATGTTTATGTGTGACTGTTTGCGTATGTTGTAACTTGGTTAACCTCATCATTAATAGAACAATTAAGCTATGTTTCTAAATTTATTTTTATAAATGAATTGTTGACAATAATTTACTCCTGTGCAATGAAATGGCATTGGACTGTATGCAATAATGTAGTATGTTGAAGGTGGATCGTATTGAAATGTATCGTTTTTGTTTTTTGTTTACACATCGTAGAACAATGACCTATCTTTGGGTGTTTGGTTTCACGATGGAGCTAAAGCTAAAGAAAGTACTTCCTAAAGTCATACATCAAGGATGCGTGCCGAGGAACAAAGTCTTGTCGAGTGATTCGGGAAGCAGTTGTCAGGCTGACAACGAATTGCGTTTCAATCAACGCCATTGTTCGGTATCTCCGGACGTCGTACGGTCGGAAGCCGAAGGACACAGACTGGATTTCAATTTCAAAATCAAAAGAGTCCTCTTTCAGTCATTTATATGCGCGTATTACGTCGGCTTTATTCCGATGAGATTTTCAAAGGTAAGTTGTGATTCTTTCATTACGGTTTTTTTCAAAGTATTATGTGAATAAGGCAGTGGTGTAGCCAGGATTTTCTATCAAGGGGGCAGTCAAAATCAGTTTTATTTACTTCTGTACCGAATCGGTGGAGACTCGAGGCCCGGGTTAAAAACAAACGCTATCAGGTCGAAGAGAGAGAAAAGGAAGACGTGTAGGTTTTCAGAAAGATGCGAGAAAGGCAAACGGCCGAGAGTATGGATTTCGAATGTTGGACATGTGAAATAAAAAGCTAAAGAGTTGGTGGTCTTTTAGGAAAAATTAATAGATGGGAGAATGATAAGGGTTTACGACTAAGAGCATGGACTAAAAATGAGGTGAACGTGATAAGAAGCTAGCGAGTTGATGGTCTTTAAGGAAGAGTGGAAAAAGGCTCTAGACCAGGGGTTCTTAACCTTTTGTTGGTCACGGACCCCCAAAACATTCTAATGAAAGCTTTGGACCCCTTTAGAAGAAACACATCGCAATTGTCAAAATTAGCTTTTAATTAACTTAGTAATATAGTCCAGAAATTTGCAGACCAAACAGAAGCAAATTAATAATTCAACGAATAATAATGAATAATAAATCAATTACCGAGTCAATTAAGTTATACAACAATTACAAAACCATAAAGAATCAAAAAATACAGTGCAGTAACCAATAAGTAGAACGCAAATAACTTTTTAAATCAATGCGAAGGTTGCACGGTTTTTTGTTCAATCTATTTATTCTATTACGACATAGACTCTATGTCGTAATAGAATCATACACAATGTCTATGTCATAGACATTGTGTATGATTACATAGGCCTATTTATCACAAATGCGATGTGTAAGAAACATTAGACTACTAATTATAAATGCACAATAGAAAAGAAAAACATGTCAATCATACTTCAGTTAAAATTTAACTGTTAAATATACATATCGAAGGCGAAAACATCTTGTTTTTATTCCGTCCAAAGATTTGTGAGCATATATTTCGAACGATCATTAAACGATGTTGCTTTTTTAGGTTCTAATCGGTCAATAGAAATACGTAGCCTACTGTAGATATTCTTATTTGGATTTGCGGACCCCTTAAAGCACCATCATGGACCCCTTAGGGGTTCATGGACCCCAGGTTAAGAACCCCTGCTCTAGACAATAAAGATAACTGAAACACGAAGGCAAATGTATTCTTGAGGACAGGCAGAAAAGCACGTTGTATTTGTTTTGAAAAAAGTATAGAGAGACTTGGTATTTAAATAGGGCAGGCGTGAGTGCGTACAGATAAGGAGGTTGGCAAGTAGGAAGGTTGTAGGATTAATTGATGACAGGTAAACAGGAGTACAATAGGATGGATAAAGAGGACTGAGAAAAAATGGTTTAAACAGATTAGTAAAGCAGAACATAGAGATTTGGACGTTGTTCACCAGATAATGGCAAGTATGGAGAAAGAAGTAAATGTTTTAATATAAGAAGGAAGTATTGTGAGGAAATGGAAAGATTGTTTCGAAAAATTGATAAATATATAAAAGGATAGAGTGTGAACTGGACAAGGTAACCACTATATATCATGTATTGGCAAAGGTAAGCAAAGATGTTGGTTAGTTGCTTGGTTGCTTAACATTAACTACAGTTCTGAGCGATGGAATGGAGAATGCGTGGAAAAGAAGTGCAGAAGCGTCTGCATACCAGATGGATTGGAAAGAGAACAGTTTCAGGTTTGTTATGGTATAAAATATTATCAGCAAAAATGAAAGGAAAGGTTTATAAAACGGTTGTATGGATCAGAAACAGTATGATGAGAAAAAGATTGAAAGTAGAACTGCAAGTTGAAGAGATGGAGGTGTTAAGGTTCGATTCAGGAGTGAGGCTGTTAGAAAGGTTCAGAAACTAGTATATCAGAGGTGGAGCACATGAAGGCAAATGATTCGCTGTTGTGAGCTCTGAGAGGAAAAGGTGAAGAGAGGAAGAGATAGTTTTACGTACACCAATATTGTGCATGTTATTCAGCAGGTCTGAGTATTGTATACTCTGATTGTATGCTCTTGTGATTGCATGCTCTGATATAGGTTGACGTTGATTCGTTTCTATCGGATTTATAGTATCGCATCGTATAGTAGATTCCTTATAGCGTGGCAGGTATCCATCTATTGTAGTATTACATGATTGGAATCAAAATTATGTACATCAGCCATTAATTAATTGTTACTCGCCCGTTCAAAAACTCGGGTTGTACTATCACCCCACTTATGTCATCATATAGTATTTCTATAATCTATTGTATATTGAAGAATTTTCATTGTAAACTTAATAACCCAACATAAAACTTCTAATAAAGTCATTACGACAACAAATTAGAAATAAAAATAAAAGCTTTTTTTATAAACGACGTTTTGTCTTTCACTTAAAACATCTCCAGATAAAATTATAAATATTTACGCGAAGCTTTAAATACAAGCAGATATTTACAGGATGTTAAATTGCATAAGAGGAAAGTACGAAGTTTGGATGACAGGACAGAATGGAAAGGGCAATATTAATGAAAGATTGAATGGCAAAGTATTAGAGAAGTTGAAGAGGGATTGAGTTGCCTTGGGTGTTGAGAGAGGGTTTAAGCTTATATATGAGAAGACTTTCAAGAATCATAAGGTCATAATTGTCAGAGAAAGAGGAGAGATTATTATGTTTATAATGAAAATGCACTTTCTGTCTGGCAAATATCTGGCCACGACGTTGAATGATTCTAATCTATTGTATATTAAAGAATTTCTGTGCATTCTGTGCACTTTAAATTTTAATAATGATGCTAACGACGACTACTGAACTTCGTTTTCATTAGTCGTAGCCTGACGTCACTGATCTCGTGACTTTCAGTGTTACTTTGAAATTCGCTTATCAGCTGCATTCTTCGTGATTCAGTTAAATCATTCGTTAATTCGTACGTCATCAAGGTAGTTGAATATTTGTGAATTTGGTAAACTTTGAACTTTCTCCAAAATTCTACGTTTTTAATGTTTCAGCGTTTCTACGTCTACTATGACGTATGGTGGTCCTGTCAGCATGTTGTCCTTGTTTGGATCGGCTCCATGATTCTTCTCATGAAGTATTTTGTTCCATTACATTATTGCTACTCGCTTAGTAAGTGCGCTGTGCATCTCGGAGCGTGGGCCGAGCACGAAGAAGAGGATGAAACACTGAGCAATCACAGAGAGTAAGTTACTCGTTTTTCTATCGTCGTGTATCTCCTCTTTCTTACTATCAATTTGACTTTGAAAGCGTGTATCAGTGGCTCAAGATTTTTCTTAGGCTTCATAGACTATACGTAGTGTATGGCATAAACGTCTCTTTACTCTAAAACGGTTTAAAATAGTGGAATGTCAGTTTCTAAAACTGCTGCTAGTTCTCGGAAACATTGCAAAAAATCGTCTTATGTGACATCACTTATGAAATTGTCGTGGTTTATTACTGTTGATCAGGAAAATGGGACAGACACTTGACGAATTTTACTGCGGGAGGAGGGGTGATAAGTTCTACAATCTCCGGTCAATGTATGTTGTATGTATCAAAATGTAAATAAAAAAAACTTATTCAAGATAATCGCCATCTGGAAAAATCAACCTGTGTACAACACAGTGGAAGAAACGCCTTTTAGTGCTATAAATCCTGGCTCAAAACAGCTTAGACTTCTTTGCGCAATGGATAGATGTTGCTCTTAACCCTTTCTCTCCCAACGTTGTCTTAGGGCAACATCAAGAAAAACGTCCAAAACGCAAAGGATAAAGGGTTGATCAACAAAGCCATACTGAAACTACTAAATTTAGACAAAGTGCTGGATCGCTTGCAGAATAAAAACGCTGAATCCCCCCCCCTCCATTTATTTGTTCTACTTTATTATTTCGAGATTATAGAGGGGAGACAACTGTCCTCTCTTCCACCCACCAGCTCACCATCAGTGAAGTAAATTATTGCTATGAAAGCGAAAAGCTTGTTTTTAATTTGGTAATCTCGTGTTATTTGATAGTTGGTCAGCATTGACAAGTTGGCCCCAGGACGTCGTCGTGAATTACAAGAATAGAAGGCTTTACAAGTCGTTAGGAATACAAAATGTTGCCGATCCAGGAGATGTACATCATTGGAGATTTTACGTAAGAAATTCATGTTTCTCTGAAGAAGTTGTGATTTTTACGCTTAAAGTAACATGACGTGAAGAACAGTTGGTATTTTTACATGACTTGTTGCCATTAGTACATTAGGATTTGCTAGTGAAATTGCCCTTTCTCAGAAAAAAATTATTTGCGATATTAAATCTTTGTGTAATTTCTAACATATATCAGTGAAAAAAGTTTTCAATTTGGTCCAATCGTTCCAATTTTATAGTGGTTTATTGTTTCCTTTTATTGGACCCTTTCCATCGTAGCATTGAGTCAGGGGTCAAATTCTGATGTCATCTAAGGTGGTTGGTATGTATACTTTGTAACGACGTGTCCCTTGTACGACGTCACAAATGTAAGTCGTTCCAGACTTTTCTGACGACGGACAAGGTCCTTAAAAAAAGCAATTTTGCCAAATTCAAACCACTATAAAAATGGGACAATTGGACCAAACTAAAAACTTTTGTTACTGATGTGTTAGACATCACATCTAAATTTAATATCGCAAATAAAAAATTTTCCGGACAGGGCACTTTAATTATTGCTATAAACATGTCTATTTACTTATAATTGTGATAGGTATAATCCATCATGTGGGCGATTTTCTCGTCTCGTGTGTGATATTTACAGAAGCGAAGTCAAAAAATAGTAAAACACTGCAACTGCCAAACTGCCTCATGTTTTAGTGTTTGCCACTTACATGTTAATCTATGTGTTAGATCTTTCCTGATGAATATATTAGACTAGAGTACATAAGAATTCAAGTTTCAACATTAGATTACTGCTGATGAAGACATTAGACCTTGTGTATATAAGGACTCAACTTTCAATATCAGATCACTCCTGATATAAGGACACTCGACTGGAGTATTTAAGGACTAAAGTTGAAAACTTTAGATCACTGCTGATGAAGACATTAGACTGAAGCATATAAAGACTTGAGTCTTAACGTTAGATCACTCCTCATTTTTCTGAATGTTTTATCATTGCTTCACGATTGGTGAAGGCATTACACTAGAAAATGTCCTGTAAATGTTAGGACTTATTATGGTATAAATCCCACACATTTGAAACATTTTTTCTAATTTAGTTCGTATTTCAAACACCAACTCGTCTCATCAACTGGCTGCTATTCGTCTTGTGTATCGTCATTTTCTATCAACTGGTCATGCTATATAGATTTCCACTGTGGCACGAAGTCGTCTCATTGTGCCTGCTGCTCTTGTTAAATTACATTGTCCTATTTAAATTACTCCGTGATCGCTGGGTTGCCATGGCAATGGAATTGAAGCATACTTAGTGCGAGTCTGGTATTTTTTGCAATTGTTACTAATTATTTAAAGGTTTTTATGAGCAATAAATTAAACAAAACAATTTTGATATGTATTTATTGTTAAATTCGCCTGTCCATCTTTGTTGGCAATGCAACTAAATGTGTTACGTCTTGACATACCAAAAGTACATTTTATAATAATAGCAATAATTGGCTTTATCCGCGGTTGCTGATTTGCATCTAGGCGATTTACTCGGATCGAAAAGCAATGTGCTTTCATGCTATCGGCTGTTTTAATAGCACGAATATTTCATTGACCGCATCACACATGGTTGACAAAAGTACATATTATAATAATAGCAATAATATGGCTTTATCAACGATTGCTGATTTGTGTAAAGGCGATTCACTCGGTTAGAAAAGCAACGTGCTTTCATGTTATCATCGGCGCTTTTAACGGCACGAATATTTTATTGACCGCATGGTGGACAAGAGTACATCTATAAATAAGTAAATAAATAAGTAAAAGCTCTCAATAGTGACTTTACACAGTCCCAGAGCCAAGAAATGTTTCATGTAGTATAACTGTGTGAGCATCTCAAATGATTTTCGTTTTAAAATATGTACGTATGTGTAATGTGATGGCCAAGAAAAGTATCGAACTGAGAGTTGTAGTAGAGCCTATTATGGTAAAGTATCTATCAATATGATAACCACAACATGATCTTGGAATAGACTGACACGCACATATCATGATTATACAACTAATATACTTACACACAAACGCTGGGAGACTGAGAGATACATAGATGACACCATATAATTGTTGGTGTTAATAAATGTGTTACGTTGATCTTGTGCTGGTTGGCAACAAATTGAACAAAATACACAAAACATCCTTTAAGCTCCAGTTAACATGACTTAATTGGTTATTGGCTGAGTTCAAACTTTCATGTCAACTGCAACATATACATGTAAAGATCAATAATTTAAATGAAGCAATTGCTTTGCTACCGCTTGCCTTTAGCATGCAAATTTTTGTAAAATGAACTTTGGAAAACTGCTCGTCAATTATTCCCAAATTAATATTAACATATTATACATAAATACAGTGTTACTTCTTGCATGTTCTTCTATAAATTGAATTAGTTATATAAGAATTTGAAGATAAAATGTGACACAATTAGTTTGTCTATATTAAGTGAAAAAATATAATAGATATTGCAGTTTGTTGCTTATCATATCAATCGCATGTTTAAAAAATTGCTGTGCTTTTTTGTACATTTGGTGTTGTGTCGTTTATGGCAGATGATAAATGATGGAAAACACCCAATACAATTTACAAATGACAGTTTTTGCCTACTCGGGGAAAGAGGCAGCAATCCTTTGCAGTAGTAACTCCTAGTTGCTAAAGTATATCAAATCAGGCAATAGTTACGAGGTGGTTTTCATTCTTGTAGCACGTTCAGTGTGGCGTTTAATGCGAGCGGATGTCTCACAATGTGCTTCGTGCAACAAAACGTTTATAGTAACATTTCTGCTAGCTTGACTAGTATGAGCCGTAAAAAGTTCTGAAAGAGCAGCTTAATTGAGCCACCTAACGAAGATGGTCTTCGAGGAACTAAATGATGTGGAATAAGATTATTTGTTCATACTCGTATTCAGTTTTACCCGACGGATTTCTTTTGAAAGTGAACCAGCGATGGCCTTGATGAGATTCTCTAAACGTTCGCTTAGCGATCTCAAAGCTACCAAAGTATGAACGCCTGAGAAGTGATAAAATTGCCCCTGGCCTTAGGATGTAAATTATTATTCGGTGTTAGTGGGGGTGGAAAATGCAAATATATGACTTTTTCAATAGTTCAGAGAGAAGGTGGGGCAAATTTTCACAACAATTATTAGAATTTTAGCAAATTATTTGAAAGGCTGCAGCCTGGCCAACCCCCGCTTCTGATGGCGTTTGTATAGAACCATAATGCTTTAATGAGTCAGTTGTCATAAGCCAAAGATTCTAAAGGAGAGCAGTCGTTAAGAAATACGTATAACGGAAAAATTTCCATGTATTAAGGTAATTTCAGCTAAAGGAATGTATGGTGAATGTCATGTGAAGAGTCATGTGAAGAATGCTATGAGAAAAATTGTTGAAAGGATAATTCCTTTTAAAAATCTTAAAGCATTCCAACTGATTCCAACATATCAACCCAACTGCTTCCCCAATTACTATCATTGATTAGCATATACAATTGAGTTCTATAAGACCTGGAGGGGAAAAGGCATTGAGTTCTATAATAACTGGAGCGGCTAACTTTACTGGGGCGAGGTCGCCAAAAAAATGGCAGCCAACGGACGTGTTTCCGCTGAAATGATCGCTTTGCAGAAAAATAATATTCTCGACCTCCCCCTGGTGTCTATAGTAAATTATAAAGAATTTTTCAAAAACAAACACGATATCACAGAATATGGACATCGTTAGTTCCATATTCTGTGACGATATCTTTTTTGGCATTTCTTTTATAATGCCAACACTTCAATCGTTCAATTGTTGGATGTCGTAGTTTCCACAAAAAGGAACATATCGCTTCTCACAGGTGAGATAGTTGCTTGTTTGTTTAGTCCGTCAACGATTGAAAACTGAAAAGCAATTATACATGCACTTGAAAAGCCATAAAATACATATTAAAGATCGTATTTTTTAAGACTGACTTGAACGCCAAATATACTGATGTTTTCCTGTTTTTGTTGATAAAATTTTGCATACTTTTCTGTCATTTGTTAATGCATGAAGTCGTAAATTTACCCATCTATTTGCAAAATAGTTTCCGTAAATCAAAAAAGACCCTGCACACATTTTGCTCTGTGAGTAAGTATCAAAACGAAATGATCAGCCCCAAGAGTACCCATGATTTAAAGCAGAGCTTGTTATGTTCTATTTGCTGACAACATGCAGGGAAGACCAAAGAGTAATGATGACTGTAAGATGTTATTGACCAGGCAGAGTCTTAAAAAAATGATAATGCTGTAAAGATAATTGATTTATTGTCTGCCCTATCCAGAGTTATTTAATTTGATCATGGTCAAATTCTATGGATGGAGACAATGGATTCACTAAGGATGCCTTGAATGCTTTGAAGTTAAAGTTCATGAACCAAAGAAAGATGGCAAGGTTGTGTGTGTTTTGATGCTTAATGAATTGTCAATTCACGAAGGTATAAAATGGGAAAGCCATAAAGTTTGTGTCTATGTAAACATTTGTACTGAGATTGATGACTTGATGCAGATGTGAAGCATCAAACTGTATAAGCCATTGGGTTTTATATAACTTAATGTTTAAATCATGTCATATCTTTATCAAAATATTTTAGTTGAGTGTTGTATAAATGTTACTAATATCTAATGCACTACACTGAAGCATTAAAGATTCAGTGATGAAACTTTTAAAGTTACTGTACTGTATATTTCTTCATTATAACAGTTTTTGCTATAAGAAACAGTTTGAGCTTATTTACCTAGTAAAGTACAGATTGGAGATTTATCATATGCATTATTGCTACTTTTTTAAAGAAAAGTTTTTCACTTTTCAAAGCTTTCCTACAAATTTTTTGCTTCTTATTTCTTTTCATGAGATTGATGATATATGGTTAATATAATCCAATAACTTTATAATTTCTAAAAAGCTTTTAAGCTTCTAGCATAAAAGTACACCATAGGTATTTGATTCATTTGGTTATATTGCCTTGCTATGACATATCTACTTGCACTTCATCATTCTTGTATGAACAAAACACCAGATGTGGATACTCAGAGAACAAAATGCACTACCAACTGCTTATGAAATTTATTATTGAGGTGAAAACTGTGTTAATCATTCAAATTGTGTACTTAATCATTCAAATTGTAACAAAACAGAGTGAAAAAGAAGGGTAGAAGTATTAAAACTACAAATGAATTATAAACACCATTGGAAGCATAAGTGTTTGATGATTATTTGCATTTTGCCCAATTCATATATCAATACAACAAAATCAAAATGTGCTACAACTTTACAAGTATTTGATGCAGTTGCACTTCAGAACATCACAAAAAGGTTACTTAAAGTAATTTCTATACAATATTGTTTGTTTTCATTTACCAAACCTATGCAGACTTGAGTCTTTTTGAAATTTATATGAAACTCAATTACAGAAAATCCGTAAATATCCAGAGATTTAATATTTACTTTTTTAAAGAAACAAGTAAAAATCCAACAATTGTGGCGAAAAAAGCCATTGCCCATTGCATCATGAAAAGAAGCAAAATAGCAATGATAACAAATAAGCTAACTTCTCTCTCGTGAACCGTGGAGATGAACTGTGATATACTTTTTTGTATAGACTAAAGAGTTTAATCGATCAAACAAGTTTGACGCTGGTAAGAAAACGACGCACATCTACATTCATACATGTGTAGCCGACATATAGGTCTTTCGTCGATAGTTATAAATGCATCCTCGTAGGAGCAGATAACTGACAACCACAGTTGACTCGCTGTTACGAATTGTAGGTTTTTATCGTGATTTTCATCAAAAAAATTGCTTGCCGAATCCCAAATACACACATACATTTTCCTCACTCTTTCCTCAGGAGGGAGTGGGAAATTGTGAAATTTTCGGAAAAGCGATCAATTTCGGTAAATCTCAGCGGCAACGGACGAAATCCGCCATTTTTTTGGCGTCATCAGATATCTAAGGCCGCGCTTGACATAGCCGCTCCAGTTATTATAGAACTCAATGGGAAAAGGGGCCTGGACCATTGAGTTCTATAATAACTGGAGGGGAAACGTCAACAAAATTAGTATAAATTATTAGCGCGCGGCTGCGTGGTCAAAAACATGGCGGATTTTGGTGGTCAAAGTCAGCGGTGAGACGCGGGCTCATGCAATAAAATTTTTGTCCCCACCCTGATTTGACCACCATGATTGCGAGTATAGAAAATATCAAAACTATTTATTTTCCTAACATAAACACGTTTTTAAAACTTAATTAATTAAACTGCCAACTTTTGTGGTTTGCGGATGCTGAAATAGCGACAGAAAAGGGAACATTTCTTGACTCCGGTAAGTAGCA